GGTCTCCAGATCCACAGACCCAACTGTCCCACCCATGTCATTTGCCACCCTGGTACAAGATCTAGCCTAGCACCACACTCCCTCGCTCAGTGTTCCTTAGTTTCCTGCCACCTGGAGTGTCTCCCCAGCATTTCCCTGTCTTGCATGCTTGGAAAAGCTTAGAGCACTGGCCTTTCATTCTCCAGGCCAACCTGGCTAGATGCTGGCTGCGTATCCTCAGAATTCACAGAAATGACACTGTGCTCACCCTGGGAGGCAGGTGATGCCAACTCCCCCCTTGATTTTCTCTCTGACATTTAGTCTGATTGGTTTCTGCCACATTTCTTCACTGTAGTCAATAGTTTTTCACCGTGATTAATGTTGTGTTGGGAGCTATTCACCAGCCTTTTCAATCATTGGTGACTTCCTTTTTGATGGTGCCTTCCCTCCAGATGGTGGTTTCCCGTTCCCTCATTCCACCTGCGTTTGTTTATTTGCACTCACTGGGAGGAAGAGTTTCCCCTCTCATCTGTGGACTGACCGGTTTCTTCAGTGCCTCATGGATTTTCACTCTATCCAATGGCTTGTAAACCATTACTATCACTGTTTTGTTTAAAGTTTAACATTTCAAAGTTTAGCTAGTGGTACCCCCTTTCAAGCTGGCTTTTGGGTCCTTTTGATAGCTCTCTTTTAATTTGTGGGCACTTTCATACTTCCACACACAGGATATTCTAGACTTACGGTCATTAATTTGTTCATTTCTATAAGACCTCAGTTTTATATTTTACACAGCAGTGCAACTCATCACTATCAGCACGTGACATAGAATAATTGATTCTTTCACATCCAGTTATCTTTTCCCTCGAAATCCATCCCATTCAGTTAAGTTTAGAAGACCTTGGCACAACCACTACCATTATCTTTCCAACAGCTTGGAGGACACAGGAATTATCCCAGTCTTCTGGTCCAGCATCAGGGACCTCTCCATCCTTTTAGGCCATCTACTTGCATGACTCTTGATTTCCTGGAGGATGTTCTGAGCTCTTTGCTTCCTCCCACTCCCCTTCCTTCCATGTTCCTTTCCTTCTGGGCGTTGTCACAGTTTTATAGGTGATGAAAGCCAGCTCAAGAGGTCACACAGTAGACCAAAGGTCACAAAACACAATACTGGGAGGAGTGTTTCTGAAGCCATGCTCTGTTTTCTCCATTTGGGCTGAAATGCTCAGAGCAAGCCAAGAACAAGGCCGAGGAGAACCTGGGGTTGGACCAAAATGTGAATTCCCCGAACATCAGAGCATCATAGAATATTTGTCTTAGAAGAAGTAAATAATCGTGTATTTTGTGTTACATATGCACTCAGGAGGGACAGGAGTAAAAACGGAAGAGATCTGGTGAAGCACACACCTGTATCCTGGCACTGGAGAGGGAGAAGAAGGAGGATCAGGACTTCAAGGCCAATGCTGGGGGCTGAGGAGATGGCATAAAGGTTAAAAGCATCGGGTGCTCTTTCCGAGGACACTGGTTCAATTCCCAGCACCCACATAGCAGCTCACAACTGTCTGTAACTCTAGTTCCAGGGGATCTGATATTCCTCACACAGACATACATGCAGGCAGAACACCAATGCACATAAAAATAAAGAGGAATCAAGGTCAGTGCTGGGTTCATACAAAAATATGAATGGTTAAACAAAATGTGGAATGGACACATAATGGAATATTATTCAGTCTTCAAAAATGAAAATTCTGAAGGAAAAAAGAAAAGCACGCTGTAGTCTTACTATTACCTAGCCTTCCACTCCTGGCAGTATACTTACTAAACTTACTTTCTTCCAAAAAATAAAATTACTAAGGAAATCCTGACACATTACAACATGGATGAAGCTTACATTATATACAGTGAAGTGAGCCAGTCAACAAAGAACAGCTGTGGGTTGATTCCAGTTATATGAAGTTCCCAGACTAGTCAAATACAAAGCTACAGCAAGAACGATGGCTGCCAGCAGCAAGAGGAGACAGACATCACGAGGTCCGATTTAAAGGGGACAGAGTTTCCCGGATGGAGTGAGGGAAGCTGAGCAAGAATTCTTGTGCTGACAAGATGGCGCAAGCAAGCCTGACGACCTGAGCTTGATCCCCAGGACTGACGTCCAGAAGAGACCTGACTCCACAGGGCTGTCTCCTGACTTCCACTCACACACGTTATCATGTGCTACCCCTCACCATCACAGACAGATCCTTTAAGGGACAAACTGTCCTTTCAGATTCCAAACAGACCATCACCTGATGGTTTTACCTGTCCTAAATCATCTGTTCACAAATGTAAGCCATTATTAATTGATTTTTCTACTGTGGAAATTAATAATGAGAAGACATATGGAAAAAAACATTTTAATATTCATTTATCTTTCTTTCATGGGTTTGAGTGTTTTGCCTCCGCGTACGTATGTTCACTGGGCGAATAAGCCAGAAGAGGGCGCTGGATTCCCCAGAACCAGAATTATGAATGGTTAGGAGTCACAGGTCGGTTCTGGGACTGAACTCTGGTCCTCTGTAAGAGCAGCAAGCACTCTTCACCACTCCAGCCTCAAAAGAGGGAAAATTGTTTCTTAAGTAAAAGGTATGATGTTGTATACAAATAAATGAATAAATAAATAAATAAATAAATAAATAGAAAATTTTAAAAAATAAGTGAAATAAACGCTCACATTAAACCACTTTGGGGCATTAACTCCTTATTGCAGCATGACCTGAGTCACCCTGACACATGGGGGATGAAAGAAAAGCATTTTCACAGCTGCATGAACATGAGTCACAGGACAGGACAACCCTCTAAGCTAAGAAACTTTAAATAAAAAACAAAAAGACACATGCTTAGAAGGGCAAGGTGGTAGACACCTGCATCTCAGCAGCCAGAGGCTAAGGCCTGAGGATTGCCATGGCTTTGAAGCCAACCGGGCCATCTTGATCTCAACACACACACACACACACACACACACACGCACGCACGCACGCACGCACGCACGCACGCACGCACGCACGCACAGTAAGTGCCTCTGAATGGTTCAAGTTCCCATTTGCTCTTTTTTGTTCTATGAATCTGGCATTTTTTATATGTATGGGCATTTGGCCTACATGTATGTCTGTGTACCATATGCATGCCTGGTGCCTGCAAAGGCCAGAAGAGGCCGTCGGAGTTCCTAGAACTGAAGTTACAGAAAGTTATAAAACACCATGTGGGTGCTGGGAATTGAACCTGGGACCTCAGGAAGAACAGCCTGTACCAACTGCTGAGCCATTTCTTCAGCCTGAAAGAAGAACTTAAAAAAATAAAAAAGGTTCCGTGTATGTCCTTATATGTGCAAAAGTGTCTCCAGAGGCTAGAGACAGCTGTCGGATCCCCTGCAGCTGGAGTCACGGGCATCGGTGTGCCACCCGATAGGAGTGCTCCAATGCCAGTCCTCTGATGGAGCAGTGTCTTCGTTACTGTTCCACAGCTATGGTAAAACACCACGACCAAGGCAACTTCGAGAGGGAAGGGTTTGTTTGGGGCTCATGGTTCCAGGTTGGCGTCCATAATGATGGGGACAGCCTGGCGGCAGGGCGGCTGGAGCTGGAAGCTGAAGACTCACTTCTAAAACCACCAACAGGACAGACGGAACACACTCCCCCAGCCCACCTCCAGTGACATACTTCCTCCAACGAGGCCACACCTCCTAAGCCTATCCAAACGCCACGGACACTAGAGTAAACCTTCACGTGCCCGAGAATATTCCCACTCAAACACAGGTACTACGTACTCTTAGCCGGGAGCCATCTCTCGAATTTTTTTTTGAAAAAGCTGAAAAAAATTTTTTTAGAGATTATTTATTTATTATGTATACAGTGCTCTGCCTGCACATATGCCTGTGTGCCAGAAGAGGGCACCAGATTTCACTATAAATGGTTGTGAGCCACCATGTGGTTGCTGTGAATTGAACTCAGGACTTCTGGGAGAGCAGCCAGTGCTCTTGATCTCTGAGCCATCTCTCCACCTTGCAAAGCTGAAATTTAATATTATTATTATTATTATTATATTATTAATAATAATATACCTAAAGCATACAAGGGATAGGAGAAACAAGACCCTACTCCCAAATCCCAAATCTGTTTCTGACATCAGAAACAGATTTCTCGAATGTCAGTTTACCAATTTACCCTACCTAGGGCCATGGTCACCTAGTCTCTAGAACCGAGCCCAGAAATGGGCATGTAGATGCCAGGGACCTCAAGAGAACCCTTCCAATGATATCAAAGAGAGTGATCGCTCACTCAATATGAGACATATTTTTCAATGAATGGTGTGTGTGTGTGTGTGTGTGTGTGTGTGTGTGTGTGAATGCAGGTGCACACATACCATGGTGTGCATAAAAATGTCAGAAGGCCACATTGAGTGTTGACTCAGACCTTCCACCGTGAAGTAGGGGGGTTCTTTGTTGTTTTCCCAATGTGCACACCAGGCTAACTAGCCCATGAGCCAGAGACATTCCTCTCCCCATCTCTCATCTCCCCACAGGAATACAGACACTCAGTATTTGGCTTTTACATGGATCCTGGGGATTTGAACTCAGGTCCTCAAACTTATATAGCAAGGATTCTTATCCATTGAGCCATCTCCCCCTGCCTGAGATACTGTAACATTGACCTTGGCTCTAGCCTGCCTTGGAGAACCACTCCATTTGTCTGGTAGACAGCCATCTATCTAGACCTGAAAGTTACAGAAAAATCTAGAAGCCAGAGCAGGGCCCAGAGGCACACGCCTGTAATCCTAATGCTCAGGAGGATCAGAGAAGTTCAAGGTCATCCTTGGATACATTGTGAGTTGCAGGCCAACCTGGGCCATGTGAGACCCTACCACAAAAAATACACAAAAAAGAAGCCACACTCCAAGTGATGGGTGCTGGTGTCTCCCTTAGGCAAAGTGAAACCAGTTGAGGACAGGACACCTAGACATCAAGGGGACCAGCAGGAAAGACAAGTTACTAGGGACAAAAGCTTTATTTACATACCACTCATCTCCTCCCCCTCCACCCTGGAGTTCCTACCCCAGGAGGCAGAAGGGCCAGGGCCACGCCTGGCATCTGCCCAGCCCATGAAACACAGCACAGCCACTTCCATCTTGTCAGGATCCAGCCTCATCTTGAGGGCTTCCATATTGTCCCTTCTGAGTGGTCAGTCCACAGTGCTTCTGGTGGGGGGGGCGGAGCTGGGCAACCTGAGGCTCTGACCAGATGGGTGGTGGGACCCGTGCTGGCAAGGCCTGGAAGGTGAATAGGGAGGTGTTGGGGAGCTACTAGGGGATAGATGAATGGAAAAATGTTAGGGGGTCACTCGGGGATAGGTGGGGTCCAGTATTAGCCTCAATTCCTCCTGCACCTTGGAGTGAGGGCCACCTTCCTGAGTAGACTGGAGCAGGTGGCAAGGAGTGCCGAAGTTGGAGGGACACCTTGTCAGGGCCTGAGTTCCCATCTCGAAAGGATCTGTCTCACCCGGACACCTCCCACCCCAGGTTGGGACAGACCCTGGACCCTACCCCATGGGATGAGCTGGTGGCTGACAGATGTCGGCGCTGTGCTCCACAGGAAACAGAGGACCACAGGTCAAGACTCTTGGGGACAGAGCTTTTCTCAGGCTTTGGAGGGAGGATGTCCCAGCCTAGCAGACAGTGCTGTGGAGAGCAAAGGTTAAAGGTACCTGCCATCCCCAACTATGGAAAAGTCCCTTCTCTGGGGCAGCAGGTGTATCTAACCACTGGTTACCCTAGGTCACCCCAATCCCAGTTCCTATTGACCCTCCCCAAGATGGATGAGATGATGTGGATATTAATGGAGCCCTTTCCACAATGGACTTGACCTGGAACACCTAAGTTGCATGACCTCACTAAACCATCCTCGTGACCCCAATACTGAGGATGTTCCCTTTCTACCCACTTTATAGGGGAGCCAAAGGGTCTTTTCCCTCTTCTCCTCCCCCAATTGCAGCTACTCTGTCCTTCACCAGGTATGCGCAGGATACCCTTTGACTTCCATTCTGACTAGGAAATGGGATGCATGATGGAAACATAAAGGTCTGGGTTCAAATCCATCTCTCCTAGCAGCTCTCCTCAGCCTCTGTGGCCTGTGTGGGGTGGGGTACGGCAGTGGCTCTGGGAAACAGTGCTCCTAAGAGCCACACACGTGGCACCCAAGAGCTCAGTGAATAGGGCCCATGTAGACACCCAACTTAGACACCACGTGGGGGACGGGTTCCACACCAGCCCGGTGAAACCAGAGGCCTGCTAGCAAAGAGCCTCGGAGCAAGTTCTCTTCAAGGCTAGCTCAGGATCCCGCCCACATATGCCTGCCTCAAGCCCCTTTGGGCAGGCAGCTTACCCGAGGCAGAGCCAGAGTGTCAGACGCATCAAAGCTTTTCCGTCTGTGAATTCGATACCGGTGTGGGGGGTCCAGGATGGATAGGGGGATGCTGACCCTGTGTGAGAGGCACAGCATCAAAATCAGCAGGGGCCACATTCTGCACCCTACCCTCGTTGTAACTGTCCACTGGGACCTGCTAGGAATTCCAATGCTCTTGACACTCACCTGACTTGTGCAGGCTCCATCAGAGTCTCAGGACCCTGTTGGTCTCGGGGTACCCCACACAGGCGGCAGGGGGCACCTGGGTCCACTGGCACAGGAAACAGGCGCCGGTTGATACGGTAACAGTACACACCTGTGAGGCCCATGAGACACCACATTTCCCCCGAAGCCAGGGAATTTGTTGCCAGGGGCTCTGGCTGTTCCTAGTCACATAAGCCATACCACCCATTGAGGAGTCACTCTGTGCCACTTTTTTTCCAGCCCCTCTCCTCCCAAAGTCTTGGGTCCACACCTAAGTTCCGGGAGAAATGTCCTCTCTGGGGCACTGAGAGCTACACCCCGCTATCTCTGAAAGCCGCTGGAGGGAGATGGTTACAAAGGGCAGGCCCTAAGCCAGCCAAAGCCCCAGGCCAGAATGGATCCCACACTGCTCAGACAGCAGGCTGCCCTCCCTGGCTGGCCAGCTCAGAGTGACCTGGTGGAAGTGAACACTCACACTCGTGGTCCTCTTCTACACCACTGCTCTCTTGCAGGTCTGGGAACACAGCTCTGGGGGCGGGAGGGGGGTGATAAGCAGGATGAGTGACAGGGTCCCCTCCCCACCCTGGACACTCCTCATGTGCCCTTGTTTACTCAGGGGAGTTGCAAACACAGTCCTCTTCGTTGGTTTCTCGAAACTTCTGAAGCGTGGAGAAGAAGGCCTCGGGTTCGCTGGTGACTGTAGAGCTACTGTCCAGGGTCCCTGGGGAGCAAAGCACCACTGGGTGAGTTAAGGCTGGATGGGCTGGGGCCCACCTCGCCTCTAGGACTCGTCACCCACCGTGAATACCAGCTCTGAGCACCAGCCTGCCCTGATATAGTCGATCACCCACGACAACTCCCTCACAGAGCCCTTACAGGGGCCACACACTCATTTTATTAGAGAGACAGTAACTATGTAGCCCTGGCTGGCCTGGAACTCCATATATAGATCAGGCTGGCCTTGAACTAACAGAGACTGGACTGCCTCTGCCTCTTGAGTACTGGGATTAAAGGCATACGCCTCTATATGTCTTACCTACTTTTTTTTCCGGGGGGGGGGGGGAAGGTCTCATGTAGCCCAGGCTGGCCTCCAATTCAACCCTTCTGCCTCCACCTCCCAGTGCAGAGATTATAGGCAGACACCTGGCTTACATTCTTACTAGCTGAGGAAGACTGGGAAGCTAGACAAGGTTCCCACTCTGAGGAGGCTATATTCTAAAGGGTCAAAAGACTAACTAGTCACCAAAGAACTCTGTGACGGGATACTGAATGCTGACACCTGCCGGGAAGCTGGAGGCCAGAGCCAGGTGGCTGAGTGCCACAGGGCAGAAGTTCCGAGGGAGGCCTGAGAAGGCGACCAGAGCAGAGACCAGGGAAGTCAGGTGGATAGATCAAAAGGATACCCCAGCAGGTGAAGAAAGCGGGTGTCTGGCATGTGTGAGGAACTCAGGAAGGAAAGGCGACCAGAGGACAATAGAGGGCGGGGGTGGAGGGATGGAGTCCGAGAGGATTCAGGGACAGGAGTGTCAAAATCTGGTCGGCCATGTTTTTAGAGGACACATCCTTGAGGCTGAGAGGTGAGGGAAAGCGGGGCAGTTAAAGGGAGATCGTGGATTCTAGAAATGCACTAAGGAAGGTCTAGAGAATGTATTCATGGTCAGGACATGAGACACGTAGAAGGGAGGCAGAGTCGAGCTGGGCCCAAGGTCATTGCCTGACTTCCTAAGTTCACAGAGATAGGAGGAAGAGGGAGGGGGGATGCACACAGGAGGAGGTGGAAACCAGGATCCCGGTTACGGGTGTGGGATTAGATATTTTTAAATTACACTTTATTTTTATTTATGTGTGTCTAAAAAATTTTTAGTGGGGTGTGGTGGCATACACCTTTAATCTTAGCACTTGGAAGGCAGAGACTGAGGGATCTCTGTGAGTTCAAGGACAGCTAGGGCTACGTAGAGAGACCCTGTCTCAATACACACACACACACACACGCACACACACACACACACACACACACACACACACACACACACACACACAAGGTAGGGCTGGAGAGACGGTTCAGCAGTTAAGAGCACTGTGTCAGGTGGCGGTGGCGCACGCCTTTAATCCCAGCACTCGGGAGGCAGAGGCAGGTGGATCTCAGAGTTCTAGGACAGCCTGGTCTACACAGAGAAACCCTGTCTTGGAAAACAAACAAAACAAAATAAACAGAAGAGCACTGGTTGCTCTTGCAGAGATTCAGTTCCCACCTCCCACATGGTGGTTCACAACCTTCTATAACCCCAATTCCAGGCTCTGACGCCCGCTTCGGGCCTCCACAGGTACCAGGCATGCACATGATGCACAGACATACATACAGGCAAACACACACACAAATTAATAGCTAAAATGAAAAACCAAAAGCTAAAATGGCACAATTTCTGCTGCATGGTTTTAACACAGTAATGAGGCTGTCGGGAGGACAGGAGCCCTCAGGTACCAGGAGAAGAGCAGCAGAGTGGAGATGTGCCTGCTAGGGTTGGGCAGGGGCCTGACCTCTATAAATGCTCAAATATAGAGCGGCCCTGATTCATTCACTCATTCAGCTTCATGTGTGTCCAACCCCGCCACTCACCTGCAATCCAATCATAGCCCAGGTATGGCCGGAAGTGCCAGTCACTCTCAGGCACTGTAGACTCTTGGGAGAAGGTCACTTTGGGCTGAGGAAGTAGACGAGGAGGGCATGGGCTAGATCAGCAGGCCTGGCCCAGAGGAGGCCCCATTCCAGGAGAACAACGCACTGTGTCTTGACTTAAGACTCCAGGGTGGCGCTAACCTCAGCTGGGGAGCTCAGAAACCGGAAGGTGAGTCTGGCACCACTTTGGATGTGGCTTTGAACAAGCCTGGGCTCCAACCTCAGTCCTTCCATCTGTACAATAGGCTTTGCCTCCTTCTTCCCAAAGTGCTAAGAACTAATAGCAATAACTGGACACACCTCACTGGACCTTCTGGAAGTCTCACCCCCTCCAAGGGAGGCTTGTCCAGGAACACTTTGTCAGAGAGGGAAACCAAGGCTCAAAAGGCTCTCCCTGATTTCCGGGCACTCCTGAGTTACCTTAGATGGCTTGCTCGGTTGTGACAGGATGGATTTGGGGACCTGTGTCTTGTGAGGTCCCAGACCTTTTGGTCCTACCAAAGGCACTGGCCCCTTCAGGCCTTCAGTGGCTAGCCAGGGTGCTGAGGGAGGCCACAGTCCATCCTGGAGCTCCGGGTGTTGGCATGGGGCAGGTGGGGGAGAGTCCACTCTGCAGCTGTCCTTGCCACACCGGGTCACGTCAAACGTGTCTCCTCGATGACAGTCTAGTGGTGGGTCCTGTGAGCTTGGGGCCACTGAGGCGGCGGAAGAACTCTCTTGGGACAGTGGCATTTCTAAGTTGCTGCTGCTGCTATAGTCCAGGTTTGACTGCAAGAAACAGGTCCGGTTACCCAAGCAGCAGCCTGACCAGTGCCAGCCACTCTGGCTCGCTCTGGACACATAGGTCTTCATCCTGCTGTGGCCTCTGCGTGTCCCAGCCCAGTCTCTTCCTCCCAAGGCCCCAGTTTTGCAACATAAGGCTGACCCTGGAAGCTTGGACATAGTCTCAGGGGGTAGGCAGTCTTTTCCTCGCCACCTGGGCATTCCCAAGGGGACCACCTACCTTTGACACTACTCTGGCCACTGACCGACACATGGCATCATGCCCAGCCCACAGCTGCTTCATCAGCTCCAGGCTGAGCAGCCGAAGCCGCACGGGGTCTTTCGTCTCTGCCATCTGGGGCATGGGTCACAGCTTTTCACAGCAATGTCACTGGCTCTGGGCTGCAGGATACTCACAGGAGGTGCTCAGGCTAGGTTCTACCTGAAGTCAGAGGATCAATGACAAAGCATGAGGGAGGGAGGGAACCTGTCACACGGGCCTGAATTAAAACCATCACCAGGATTCTCCTTTACTGTGCAGTCTCACCCTGGTTAGTTGACCTCTCTGTGCCTCTTGTCCTAACCTGATTACCTACCATGCTGTCACGAGGGTAACACAGGACAGTGCATGTTCAACTCCTAGTCCGGCACTCGATAAATGTCCATTACTACTAAGCCAGCCCGGAGGATGTCTGGAAAGTCTCCAGCATTCTTAATCCCAACTGCTTTACGTGCCAATTGTGCTGTTTCTTTCCCCAAAAGAGCACACCTCAGAAGGCTGGGCAGGGCTGTTTTTGAATGAATATGGACAACAGGAAATGCTTGCCTGCTGAGAGACTAAGGCTTCCACTGGGCCTTCTCATGTGATTCCTGGGGCCGGTGAGATGGCTCAGTGGGTAGAGGTGCTTGTGGCCAAGCCTGACGATCTGAGTCCAATTTACATGGTGGAAGGGGAGAGCTGACCCCCACAAACTGCCTTCTCACCTCCACACGTGTCATGGCGTGTGCTTGCCCATACCCACACACAAATAAAAAATTGTTTTTAAAATTATCATATAGGAAGAGACTAGTACAGAGTGCTAATTCAAAGATTAATAACGTGCTATCTGGTGCTGGCATTGAACCCCAGACCTGCAGCATTAAGCTTGTTCTCTGACACAAAGATACCCCCGGCCAATCTTTCCTTCTTTTTTTTTTTTTTTGCACCTGTACCCCAAGGTCACATAACTACTAAGTGTCAAAATAAGGGTCTGAACTAAAATGTGGGTTCCTGGTTGTTGTGCAGAGGCTACATTCAAGCATCTCCCTCCTGGTGAGAGGAGGGAGTCTCCTCAGAAAGTCGCAAGAGTTTTAAGGTTGCTTTAAACAACTTTGGACCAGGGCTGCCTGCAAGCTATTCAGGGGTGAATCCGAACCCATGCTAGGTGGGTTTGTCAGTGACGCAGCTGCCTGCTTTGGGTCATATAAGTGCTCGAAGTGACCCCAATGCACTCATGGGTGAACCAGCTACACTTGTGTGCAATCTTTGCTCTGCTCTGTTGGCTGTTCTCTGGGCAAACAGACCTTTGTTGACATATGACTCCCGACAAAGGGTCTGCACTTAGGAAAGCCTGGCCCTGACAGGGTTGTTAGGTTCCTGGGAAACCTCCCCCTACTCCTGCCAGCTTTGCTCCTTCAGAGGTCCAGCTCAGAGACACCTCCTTTCTGCAGGGGATGTCTGCAGTGGAGGGAAGCGCTTCCCACTTCCTTTACAACCACAGTTCCGGACTCCTCCACCAGCACCAGAGCTTTAACTCCGGGTTGGGTCAGAACCCCTGCCTGTTCTGTCCCAGCCCTGCCACCCCACACGCCCCTGGGACTCGGGTCTCCATGCAGTCTGCAGGGGGCGAGCAGAGAAGCAGTCTGCAGGGGGCGAGCAGAGAAGCAGTCTGCAGGGGGCGAGCAGAGAAGCAGACCGCAGACTCTCACTCACGAGCACCCACGCAGGGTGCACATCGGGCCTGGGCGCTAGCCCTTTCTCTACCTGGTCTAGCTGGACGTAGGCACACCTCTCTGGTCCCAAGATCAGGGGCCGCTTTGGATAGAAGGACTTGGACGCTCTCCACCCGGAAGCCCAGGTCCCCAGCAGCCCCGGGCTCCGCCCCCTCTGGGTGGGGCCTCCGACAGTTGTCCTAATTGGGTAATGCTGGGGCGGGATCTCCACCAGCTGTCCTGATTGGCCAATTGGCCGGACCGGACCCCAGACAAACGTTATTTCGCATCCGGAAGCGGCAGTTTCAATTTTGGGGTGGGGCTAATGGCCCCTCGTTGCTGATTTGCTGATAATGTCAAGTCTACCAACTCGAATTTTACTGAATGGAAAGTACCAGAACTACAGGTTCCGATTGGTCAGTATGGCCCAGCTACGTAAATTTCGGATGATTGTGAAGCCTTGAGTGACTGCGGATGGGCGGGACAAGCGACGAAGGCAATGCATTCCATCTTTCGAGCTTTTTTTTTTTTTTTTTTTTTTTAAGAGAAAATCATATGAAGCCTACACTTGCTTCAGACTAAGGGCTCCTCTCAGTTAGTGGGGGAGTGTTGATTTACAGGCTTTCCATATTGCCTGCTTTCTTTAACACTTCAAGTCTTTGTGAAGTGCCTACTTTGTGCCAGAGACATTGGAAGGCAAAGTTTTTTTTTCCTGAGATTTTTGTGCATTTATTTATTTATTTATTTATTTATTTTTATTTTTTTTAATGCCGAATGCAGTTTATTGAAGGAGGGAAGAGGTCTTAAATACAGGCTTACAGCACAATGGGAGAACCCCGGAGGGCATTCGCTACCAATGTTTTACAATCTTGCATCTAAGCTGTTAACAGATACACAGACAAGGAACTTCCCTTAAGCATTCAGGAGGGTGGAACCTGGCAGGGAATTAGCATAGGGAGGATATCAAGGTCAAGGTCAGCAAGCAAGGCAACAGTTACCCAAAATGGGGGCCAGGGCCCTACTGGTCCCCCTTCTGAATTAGGTTGCGTGGGACATCAGCAGGTCATCTTACCCGTCATGGAGATGCCTGCCCAGGCCACACAGGCTCTCTTAGTTGGTGAGCACCCCCCAGGCATTACCCGTCTCTGAATACTCATTATCATACAGGCTCAATCGTGTGTGAGCTGCAGAGTTTACTGCTGCCAAAGATCTCAAAGTGGCACTGGGCTTGCAATCTGTGTGTACAACACAGAAAAGACCAACAGAGGTCCTATCGCACCCATAGCCAGGAGGCTAAAGACAGCTGAGCCATTCGGAAGGCAAAGATTTAAGAGTGGGGACAGAGAGAGGAAAGTCGCTGACAAAATTACAATATAGACAACAAAAATCTGGTCCTGTAAAGTATAAACCGAAATTAGCCGGACATGGTGGCGCACTCCTTTAATCACAGCTTTTGGGAGGCAGAGGCAGGGGGATCTCTGTGAGTTTAATGCGAGTTCCAAGACAGCCAGGGCTACACAGAGAAACCCTATCTAAAAAATAAAATAATAATAAAAAAAAAGATTTAAGCCAAAATGTACTGTAGCTCAGACTGGCCTCAAACCGCTATGTCATGAGGATGATCTTAGATTGACTCCTTCCTAATCCTGCAGCCTTTACCTCCCCTAATACTGGGATTATAGGTGTATTCCAGCATACAGTTTGTGCGGTACTGGGGAATGAACCCAGAGCTCTATGCATGGAAGTGTGTTACCGTAGTGTTTTGAAGGGCACCGTGTTTTTAATACTCCTAGCTGTTAGCCGGTCTCCTTTCTTCCTGTCAGAGTCAGAAGGACAGCCTGCCCCAGGAAAAGGCCGTGGAAGACACTTGAACTAAGCTTCCTGGAATTTGGTGTAAGGCGCCTGTTCTGCTCCCACTGTCTGCATTCAACAAGCACAATTTACTGATATTGCAAGCGCCTATTCTGTGCCAGGTATCGGGGTGGGGGCGGGGGAGCAGCAGAAATGAGGTGCCCTGTGAGAGCATCACAATCAATACAATGCCATGATGTGCTCATGCACACCTTCTACCCCAACACCCAGTAGGCAAGGGGCAGGCAAGAGTTCAAGGCCAGCAGCATGGTCTACACAATGAGCTCCAGGACAGCCAGGACTGTTACACAGAGAAACCCTGTCTCAAAAAACCAAAAAATAAATAAATAACTTTAAAAAAAATAGCACTAGGAAAAAATGTTCTGAGTGCCTCAATTGTCACTGCTGCTGCCACTTGTCACTGTGATCGATACTCTGCTGATATCATCCTCCAGCTTTGTTGGCCTTTCAACATGGATCTAATACCAGCCACTCTACAAGGAGCTCCTGGGCTATCAGGACTGGTTTGGACTGCTGAGCTTCCTTCCTTGATTAGACGGCTACCAGATTCTCAGCCTCTCCAGCGTACAGATGGCCACTTTGGACCATCCAGCTCCATGTGGAAGCCAGGCTAATAAATCCTCTTTTATAACACATGCATACCTTGTTGGTTCTGCTCCTCTAGAGAACCCTGCTAATACAAATGCTCAATATAACACTACCACTGAGGCTGGACCTTCCATACGGCACCCTTGTTCACCACAGGCACCTCTAGCGCAAGCTCCCATCCTGTGGCTTCTTCCAGAGTTTTTTCTTGCCCTAAAATTCACTCACTAGACACATATAGACTAAAGCCACAAAGCCACACACACACACACACACACACACACACACACACACACACACACACACACACAGCTGGGCAGTGGTGGTGCATGCCTTTAACCCTAGTACTTGGGAGGCAGAGGCAGGTGGCTCTCTGTGAGTTCGAGGTCAGCCTGGTCTACAGAGCTAGTTCCAGGACAGCCAGGACTATACAGAGAAACCCTGTCTACAAAAACAAAAAGTATATATATTTATAATGTCTTGAATTATCTGTTGGGTCAAGGCTGTAGCTCAGATGTAGAAAGCATGCTTAGCATGTGCAAAGCCCATGGTTCCACTCCTATTGTAAAAAGAAAAAATCAAAGGGCATACAAAGTGATTCACTGTACCAACTGTTGCTGAGGATGGGAAAAACTGGAACTCGTCCACTGCTGGCAGGGATATAAAATGCTGTAGCTACTTCAGAAAAAGGTTGGTAGTCCTTAATAGTATGTAACCCAGAAATTCCAGTCTGTGGTATCTACCAAGGAGAATTTATGTCCATACAAAGACCTGCACTGAATATTCCTATCAGCCTTGCACACTGGTACCACAAAAAAAAGCCAAACCATCTGACTGTGTATCAGTTGCACTCACTAGTGTCACAGAAAACAAAGGCCACATATTGTATAATTCCACTTACATGGAATGTTCAAAAAGGGCAAACTATAGAGACAGATCAGTGGATCCAATGTCCAAGTCTGGGGTGGGAATGGGGTGGGGGTGTCACCACAGATGGAAATTCAAATTTGGGTTGTGTTTGGTTGCTGCACACTTTTTAACATACTGAATTTTTTTTTCAAGTATTTCCCTGTGTAGCCCTGGCTGTCCTGGAACTTGCTCTGTAGCTCAGGCTGGCCTATAACTCAGAGATCCACCTGCCTCTACTTCTCAAGCTCTGAGATTAAAAGTGTGCACCACCATGCTCTGCTGATTGAATACACTCTTAAACATGGACTTGCCGGACTGCAGCCTGAGCTGATAGTCCTAGCCAAGGGTGGCTGAGGCAGAATTTTAAGGTTGAGGACAGCTAGGGCTAAACAGAGAGACCTTGTCTCAAAACTATGGTGGGGCCCAGGAGATGGCTCAGCAGGTAAATCTCTTTAGCTGTGAAACATGAGGACTCTTGGGTCCAATCAATAGAAGACATACAAAAGCCAGATGCGGCACACCTCGGAAACCCTAGCACTCTTATGCTAAGATTGAGGAGAGGTAGGTGGAGACAGAATGGCCTGTAAGCTCTCCGGCCAGTCTGGAGCATGTTTGGAAGCAAACAAGAGACACCCTGCCTCAACAAGATGGGGAGTGGTGCAGTAAGCACAGACTCCAAAGTTGTCCTGTGGCCTCCATGTGCATGAGATGGCACATCAATGCGTGGGCATGCACAAAGTTTCAAAGAGAGGTGTGTGTGCTGGGGACATAGCTCAGATGGCAGAGTGCTGGTCTAGAGTGCACAGAGCCCTGGGTTTGATCCCCAGCATGCACAAATTGAGCATGGCAATGCACACCTTTTAATCCCAGCACTCAGAAGGCAGGTGGATCTCTGTGAGTTCTAGGGTAGCCTGGTCTACAGAGTGAGCTCCAGGCTAACAAGGCTCCATAGTAAGGGTAGAGAGAGGGCTCAGTGTTGACAGCCTTTGCTGCATAATCATGACAACTGGTTTTTTGGATCCCAGAAACTGCATAGCAACACCCTCCCCCATACACACACACACACACACACACCAGTTTTGAAAGAAAAATTTTAAAAATGCGTGTACACATTGTGGTGTTTCAAATGGTGTACAGAATCTGACCCTTTTTGCCGCTCCTGTTGCAGGCAGCCCAGGCCAGGGCACCTTCACGGCCCTCCTGGAGTGTTACTGTCCTGTCCTGGCTGGTCTCTTTGCTTCCATCGTGTCTGCCTCCAGCGGCATCGCAGGCCCCTACTAAGATGTGGTTAGCTCTCACGAGCCCTCTCTCCTCAGGCACACCTCAGGAACACAAAACACCCCATTCTGCCCCAGGTCCTATCTGCTTTCTCCCTCACACAACTTTGGCCACATTCCTCCTGTTCTTGGAAGGCAATGAGCACACTCTCACCTCAGGGCCTTTGCACATAACACCCATCTTCTGACCTTGTCTTTTACCTAAGTGATCTTGGTTCTTATCCAGACAAGCTCCATAAAGGCAGGAGCACTGGGAATCAAACCTAGAGCCTCCTGCATGCTGGGCAAGACAATGGCAGGGACTCCCACCACCACCACCACCACCACCACCACCACCACACACACACACAC